GTCTAGCTGCTCAAGCTCCAAGTCATAATGTGCCACTATTGCTAGTAGCACTCTGATCGAAGTATGTCTGACCACTGGTGAGAAAATCTCATTGTAGTCAACTCCTTCCCTCTGCGAGAAGCCTCGTGCAACCACCCGAGCTTTAAATTTCATGCCCTCTTTGGAAGTGATTCCTTCCTTCTTCTTGTAGATCCACTTGTTTGTCACAATCTTCCTTCCCTGTGGTCGTTTGACTAGCTCCCAAGTCTGATTCCTGTCATGGGATTCCATCTCATCTCCCATTGCGGCAAGCCACTGATCAGCTTCACCGCCCGAAACTGCTTCTCTATAGGACTGTGGCTCTCCTGCATCCACTTCTTCAGCAACCTGAAATGAATACGCCACCATGTCCTCGAAGCCATACCTCTGTGGAGGTACTCCTGCAGTCGCTCTCTTCGGTCTACCGGAAGCAATAGACTGTTGAGCTCGTGCACTGGACTCTGAAGTTTCTGGCTCTGCAGAGACATCCTCATCATGTTGATCTTCTCCACCTTGGTGCTCAAACTCACTCTCATTGAGAGTTTGCAGCTCCACCTGCTTATCAACATTCCTGCTACCTTCAGCAACAGTAACCTTCAACATGGGGTTAAACATAGACTTCTCATCAAATATCACATTTCTACTAAGTATAACTCGATGCTCAGAAGGTGACCAGACTCGAAATCCCTTAACTCCATCTCCGTAACCCACAAATACACCCTTCTTTGCCCTTGGGTTCAGTTTACCCTCATCCACATGATAATAAACAGGACACCCAAAAACTTTCAGTGAAGAGTAATCAGCAGGCTTACCATACCACACCTCATAAGGAGTCTTACACTCGATACCTGTGTGAGGTCCACGGTTGATCAGGAAGCACGCCATGTTTACTGCTTCTGCCCAGAATCTTCTCTCTAGTCCAGCATTAGAGAGCATGCACCGTGCTCTCTCCAACAATGTCTGGTTCATCCTTTCTGCAACGCCATTCTGCTGGGGTGTATCTCTAACAGTTCGATGACGGGCAATCCCTTCATCCTTGCAGAATTCGTTGAACTCAGAACTGCAGAACTCTAGACCATTGTCCGTTCGCAGCTTCTTGATCTTCTTCCCGGTCTGATTCTCCACCAATGTCTTCCAGTGCTTGAACTTCGTGAAAGCCTCACTTTTCTGCTTCATCATGAAAATCCAAGTAAATCTCGAATAATCATCAATAATAGACAGAAAATACCTGATGCCTCCAATGGATTCAACTCGTGAAGGACCCCAACAGTCGGAGTGGAGGTAATCCAGTATCCCCTTCGTCCGGTGGATACCCTTCTTGGGAAACTTGCTGCGATGTAGCTTCCCAAACACACAATGCTCACAGAATTCCAAATTCTGAACCTTGTGCCCGCAAAGAAGATCCCTCTTTGATAGAACTTGCATCCCTCGTTCACTCATATGCCCCAGTCTCATGTGCCAGAGAGTGGTCATATCCTCCTGTTGAACCTGAGACGATGCAACTGCAGCAGAACCAGACAACACAGACCCTTGTAATGCATACAAGGTCCCACGCTTCACGCCCTTCAGTACCTTCCTCGAACCCTTGCAGACATACACAACTCCACCTTTTCCTTTGAAGCTGAAGCCCTTGCTGTCGAGTAGACTCAAGGAGATCAGGTTCTTCGTCATTCGTGGAACATGCCTGACATCATTCACGGTACAGAACGAACCATCATGTGTCCGAATCTTTATGGACCCGATTCCAACAACCTTGCAGACAGCTCCATTAGCCATGACCACGTTACCACCATCTATCTGCTCGTAGGTTGTGAAGCAATCCCTGTTCGGAGACATATGGTATGAGGCTGCAGTATCCAGAAACCACACATCACCACGATGTGCCTTCTCATCTACAGCCAAGGCGAGATCGTCTTCAGAACTGTTGTCCACTTCTGCCACGGCAACTGAACCTTGTTTCTTCTGTTGCCCTCTTCTCTTGGGACAGTTGTACTTCCAATGCCCCACTTCCTTACAGTTGTGACAAGCATCACCTGGCTGTGGACCGGGACCCTTGGAATTCTTGCTCGAATTCCCTTTACCAGATTTCTTCTTTCCCTTTCCACCTGTAACAGCCAAACCCGATGCCTCACCACCTGTACCAGATCCGGACGCCTTATGTCTGATCTCTCTCGTATGAAGAGCAGACCTGACATCCTCCAACGACACGCTTTCTTTACCAGCAATAAAAGAATCAACGAAATTCTCATATGAACTCGGCAAAGAAACCAGCAGGATTAAGGCAGCATCCTCGTCATCAACTTGAACATCTATATTACGCAGATCCAGCAAAATAGAGTTAAGCTGTTCGAGATGTTCCCTCAAAGGCGTACCTTCTTGCATCCTCAAGCTGAACAACCGTTGCTTGAGATGCAGCTTGTTGGTTAGAGACTTAGTCATATACAGACTCTCTAGTTTCAACCACAAGCCCGCGGCAGTCTTCTCAGCAGCGACTTCAATGATGACGTCATCAGACAACGATAGCATGATGGTCGAGTGGGCCTTCTCCTCCAGGGTATTCCACTCATCGTCATCGACCGCTGCCTTCTTCTGTTTCGCAGACAGCGGTCCCCACAGCCCTTGCTGTTTTAGTAAAGCCTGCATCTTGATCTGCCATATAGCGAAGCTGTTCTTCCCCGTGAACTTTTCGATCTTCATGTTCACCGACGTCATTCTTCTGAATCGAAAACCCTAGCCTGATTTCCAGCCGCGGCTCTGATACCACTTGTTATAAACGCGCTGCTACGGATCGGGAAATTGCCGGAATCGATAAAGCAAGAATACGAGAGCGAGAATCGAAAGAACACAGACACACGATTTACGTGGTTCACTAACACGATGTGTGTTAGCTAGTCCACGGGCGAGAGAGAGCCAGTTTCACTATATCGAGGAGATTACAGATTACAGAGGAGTATGAGAAGTATTTATAGTACTTCTCCATGTGGGTCTAAACCTAATCCAATCTAGCAAAGGAAACGGTTACAGACCAGGCCCAGAACCCGAACCCAAATAACATTGAGCCCATACACCGTGGGCCGGGGGCGTTGCCCCCGCACCCCCACCGGGGCGTTGCCCCTGGACCCCACTCGCTGACCGGTCAGCGAGACCCCTGGTTACCAGTCGTAGCGGCTGATAATCCGATTCAAGTCATATCAACAGGTACAAACGAAGTTTCAATTGGACTTCCCAGCTAACGACTCTTGATTGACCATATTGCGTACGTGAGTTATAAAAAATAATAATATAGTTGATTAAATATTAGGTTATGGATGATATCGTCTACTACAAAGAGGAAGAAGAGACGAAATGTCGTCCAGAAATGATATGGAAAGGTTAAACCCACAACAACGTAAGGGCATTCAGCGTCATCTTTGCACAGATGCCAAATCAAGGGCGGAATCTGTAGTGCAGTGACGGCACTAATGCCGCCAGCCATTTGGCCGTTGGATTTTTCATGTTTAATGAGGGCCGTTGATTATGACCATAACTTAACCATAGTAGGTTGAACCTGCAGGTTGAACCGATTATATGTTTAAATTATTATTTTTTATTTTCTTACTTCTTGTTGCAGAAACATCTGCCCTGTTGAACAATTTTCTCAAGAAAAAAAAAGAGTCCAGTTGTATCTCTTGATCGCCGGCAAGAAGGGGAGGTGAAAAGAAAATGAATCCGCAGTTCAGGCGTAAGGTTCATCTTCTTCTCCTCAATCTGATCACACTATTCCTACAATCTATCACGACAAAGTTGTATTCTCCAAAAAGCCGTCGAAAAGAATTAGACTATGGCACCATTTTCGGCGGAATCCCTCCGTATTACGCGGCAAAACCATTCTCACCGCTGAACTTATCGGTAGCTGAAATTGAAAGCAAGTTCAGGTTTTTTGTAATCCTATTGCTTCTTCAGGATTGTCTCCGATTGTTCCCATGCTTTTTCAGTAACTGTAATCTGCGAAATCAGATGATTGATGCTATTGTTGTTTGAACTTGGCTTGCTTTGTAAATGTATGCACAGGATTGAGGCGGCGACCGGGGAAGACAGGTTGCGATGGTGGTGTGCGGGTCCAGCGACAGCGACGCGGGGCTCTTGAGCAACAAAGGAAAAAGTAGCTTGTGGTTGCCGTTTATTTCCTTCCTCTGTTTTCTTCATTTCTGTTTGTTGGTTTTCCAGACTGAAATCAGAGAAAATGAAGGAAGGGAAGGGTTGTGCAAGCACCATCTTATCTATTGTAGTCACTTTGCTTTCCAAATTTCTTCAGCGGAGACGGGAGGTAAGGGAGAAGTCTCTAGAGCTGTAACGGAAGAAGGAAGCAGCAAGGACGGAGGCGGTGGGACGTGGGAGAGTAATCAGAGGCAGTTTTCCTGTGTTTCTTTTGGTGCAGAGTTTGGAGCCTATGCTGTTGATGAGCATGCGTAGGATTTGTGGCTGGCAATGGAGATTAGAAAGAGTAGGGAGTTTTCACCCAAAAAAAAAAAGTAGGGAGAGGGGGTGGCGGCGGAGGAGGCCAGGAGAACAGAGGAAGAGGATAGGGTAGCGGTGCAAGGAGAGAGGAGAGTGGAGAGAGATCCAAGTTCCTAATTTGAATGGAATACGTGCCTTTTGCTTTTTAACTTTTTATTTATATTTTATTAATTAAATAACTTAACCAGACCCACCGAGTGAATCACAAAACCAAGCATCTTAACCGGTCAGAAAAAATGGCGGCACCCGTACAGGCACGGCACCATAGAATTCCCCCAAATCAAGTGAACATAATGCATATGGATCTCTAGCTAGCTTGTTAAGCTCTTTTCTTTATCGAACATAATAATCCCACTTTTTTAATTGTATCTTAAGAGTGGTTAAAATATAAAATAGTAAAAGGACAGCCATAATCTTTGGGCCGAGCTTCGCAGAGAATTTCATCAGGACAGCCATAATATTTGGGCCGAGCTTCGCAGTGAATTTCATCCTCTTGTCTTGGGCCTTGGTTCGAACACATACCCAAGTACGTAAAGGAAATAAAAACAATGGAATGTCAGAAGTGAGATTTGAACCCACGCCCTCTTTCGAAAACCAGAACTTGAGTCTGGCGCCTTAGACCACTCGGCCATCCTGACTTATCTGTTCAACTTCCTCATAGTTTCTTAATAAATTATTAAAGGGTAAGAAGGACACTCGGCCAACCAAACCGATATTTTTATCTGAACATATCCAACCAAATAATGTGTTCAGTCCTTGGTGACATGAATTTTTATAAATACTAAATAAATGGTTCGATTTTACATTTAAATCAAATAAAAAAACAAAATACAATGACAATTTAATCTTTAATTCTAGAATGTCTTTCGCTATCACATTGAGGCAGGGGCGGAGCTAGGATTCGACGTTGGGGGGGGGGCAATTTTATTTTTGTGTTACTTCCAAAAGGCGATAAAAATTTATATTTAATATTATTATAATCACAATTTTTAGATGATTTGAGGACAGTGGCGGAGCCAGGAATCTGAATGAGGGGGGCTAAAAAATTTACGTTCAAAGGTTTGAACCGGCGAGGGAGGGCTAAAGCCTTACCACCTACTCTATTATCCAAATTTGCTATGAAATTTACATGTAAATTTACACAATTTTGAGAGTTGAGGGGGCTAGTCCCTCCTGCCAACAACGTGGCTCTGCCACTGTTTTAGGGAACTATTATTCAACCATATAAAACTTATTTTTGAAACTAAAAGACTTAAGAAACCACATTGAAATTAACGGAATTAAAAACCATAAGATGAAACATGATGGTAAATTATAAAACTGAAAAGCAAATTATAACATCTGCAGAGTTTCGAATCCTTCACCTAGTTGCAAAAAACGTAATGTTTTCATCCGCTGGGCTAGATTTAATTACTTTCTTGTTTTATGTTTGCGCACTAAATAACTACATACAAACTCATCAATTTATACGAAATTTCGAATTAACGATATACTTTATATGTAAATCGTAACTATCGAATTCTGGGGGAGGGGAGAGGGGGAAGAGACCATATGTAGCTCTGCCCTTGCATCGCGGTTCTTGTGAATTTGGCCCAATGGAACTTGTGCACATTCCTACTTCCGCGACAACAAGGAAAATTTGCGGATCAGCAAACAAGGGTTGCATGAATCCAGCCCAGCGGCCTCGCTTTTGCAAAAACTCCAAAAGCAAAGTTGGTGTTTCTTATCTTGCCGCTGTCGCCCCCCTCCTTTTTCAGTTTTATAGTTTCCATATAAATCAGGCCCCATCTTTGCCTAATAGGGCTCGACCCAATAAGATTTTTCTTTATTTATGTATTATTATTACCACTAATCGTCGGCGTATATTTGTTTATTTTTTGAATGAATAGCAGTTTGTGAGGAGAGGAAAATCAAAGGCAACCAAGTACATGAGTAAGCTAATAGAAAAGTTGATAATATTAATATGAGTTTTGAAAGACTGCAAGTGGGTTTGTCATCATATTAGTTTAAATTATATAGTATATAGAGTTATAGACAACAATGTTATTTAGGAGGATCTAGGGGTAGATCTTAGATCCTACTAAGTCAACTCAAGTTTAGGGTAGTTTGGAGGATGGATTTATCAAATGAGGTCATTTGATTCAATTATCTTGAAATTATTTTATTTTATAATTGATGTTATTTTTTAAAAATATTTGTCACTCCCCTGTAAATATTCAATTGATGCAAAATAAGACAATTAAAATAGCTTCAGCCCAAAAACATTTCTCTCGTTTAGGGAGATTTTCAGAGAGGAGGCGATACCTTGTGTTTTTTTGCCTCGGAGTAGGATTCGTGAGCTTGTGATTTTCGATTATGAGCTGGTAACCTCTAGCACGGTGATAATGATTACATAAGGGTGTTAGTGCTCTTAATCTGCCTTCTGCAACTAAAAGTTTTCTGTGATTCGGAGCTTGCTGATATTCACCGAGTGAGAATTTTTATGTTTAGGTTTTTAACCGAAATTTGGAGTCTCGTCTTTTTTTTATATATGAGAGACCCTAATATGCCTTTTGCGATTAGGGTAAGGGTGTGATTTCTATTTTAGTTTGACAACCCCGAGTAGCTTGTTTCTCATTTTTCATCTTCTGTATAGGTGTACTTCAAAGTATTTTAGTAGAAGAAAAGGAATTCATAAGTGAGTATGCGGAAATGGAGTCAGAGGCGAATCAAAAGGAGTCATCAACGGGTGATACTCTCGAACTGCCGAAGGAAGAGAGAGATCCAAAAGATACTCCTAAATAGGTTATTCCTTTACTTCCTAAAGGGGTTGAGATGAAGGTACAAAACAGAAATCTTGTTGATGACGAACCTTTGGTGGCGGAAGAAGAAGATTTTGACCCCGTCATGGTTAAAGCCGTGAAACTGCTTGGCCTTGTAGGTAGGTTCGTTGTTGTCGACTTAATTGACTATGTGTGGTCAACCACAAAACTCTGACTAGACTCCAACTAAGGTTGTTTGGTGTTTATCACAAGTAACCTTAGACTTACCTAGTCAGTTTTCTAGCAACCTCTGAAGTGAGAAGTAGGAGGAAACAATAAGAACTTGTGTCTTTCCTTCATAAATCTAAACACGATTATAGTGGTGCTTAAAACTAGTTGGGACAAAAATGGATTGGATTAATAGATTGATGAATTCATGAATTAGATTAAATGGATTCATGGATTCAAATGTCATCTGATATTTGGAGCAACACGAACAATTTTGAAAAGTTTATGTGCTATAACGACATTATAAAATTAAGTTTAGGTACCAAAATAGAATTTTTTTAAATGAGTTTTTTTTCATTTAATAAAACTTTAGGTATCAAATTGTAAAATGTAAAACATATATATATATATATATATATATATGGTGACTTCTATGGTGCCCAGGGCAAAATCCGGGTACGGGTACCTTGGCCGATCTTAACCATTCATTTTCAATCTCCACGACTCACGTTTGTTAAACCTAACTGCGCCAATAAATAACTAAACAAATTACAAAAAGGCTCCTGCCGCGTTAAGTTTGTTTTCATCCTAGTCCAACTAACTGCCCCGATTAAATTAAATGGATTAAGACTGCAAACCCAATTGGGTAGACCCACTGCCGCCCAAACCAATTTCCAGTCTCCCTAACCAATTACACGATCCCTCTCTCGTCTTGGAAGGACGCCCCTTCACAGTTCCAAGAGAAGCTCCCCATCCAATTTGAACTCCCTTTTTTAATCATCTTTTTGAATCCCAATTACTTGCATCCACATTCGACGTAGATTGAATTTCCCAAAATTTTTTGTCTTGTTTCTTCTTCGCCATTGTATTTCCCCTCGCCTATCTCTTTCTAACACGATTACGGCGACCATGTCTATTATTGTGTTCATCGAACTTTTCATTTGCAAAAGAACCCTTGAAAGAGGTTTGCTAACCCTAGGGTTCATGTCACTAGTGCTTTGTCATCTTGTCTTAGCGTTATTGTGATTTTCTCGAACCTTATATCTCTCGGTGAAATTTAGGTTTCCTGATATGTAGTGTTCGTCTCGCCTAGAGGATTGAGGAAGAAGATGAAGAACACATAATTTGAATCGAATCGGATGGAGAGGTCTCCTTAGTTTGTGTTTATGTATTAACAGTGCGTTTAGGACTAATTCTAGTTGGACTGGGGCTGATCATTGATTTTTGCAGGCTTTTAAATAACATTCAAACGTGGGCTTGTACATGACCCATGCAATATTCAAAAGTGGGCCTGGAACGTGCGAGCCCATTAGTTTTCTCCTGCGGTATCAGCGCCAACCCTAGTTTAACTAGCTTTAGTTACCCTAGTTAACCTACACGAGTTAACATCATCATTACTACATATCTTCCCAAATCTTCTAACTCTTGACATTCCAGACTCAACCGTCTCCATCACACGTCTCCACACTCAACCCCCACGATCACTTTTTCTTACACCTACAATCTCTCTTTCCTCCATCTTCACCTTCCCTTGTTCCTTCTTCCTCTGACTCCATGGCAAACAAAGGCAAATCGTTTGCGGATATGGGCATACTAACTCTATCAAACGACGACTGCCGATCCACCCCAAGTCTCGCGGACTATCTTTCATTCACGAGCAAGACATCTATTGTGGCCGAGTACGAGTTCATCCACCTGAGTCCTTTCCCTCAAGAAGTGAAGAAGTTAATTAAAAATCTTGGCTGGGAAAAGTTTTTTGATCTCCGGAGTCGAGGAAGCACCAGTTACTGCCCGCATGTGGTGAGGAAGTTCTACCACAATTTAGAGCTGTCTGGTCCCTCCGATTCTCATCTCGTGTCGATCTTCCTGGGTTATAGAGTCTGCTTCCAGCCTCATCAGTTTGCTGAGATCCTCGATCTCCCCGCCGCAGGACACCACATTGATAGCAGAAGCGATCTTCGGCGGCTGTACGATTTTGAGTTTGAAGTTGAACTGGCGAAACTGACGAACGGGCGCATCCAGGCTTCTTTCCTCCCAGATCCTCTTTGATTCCTCCATTGGATGATCGTCAACTGCTTCATGCCAAGGTACAGTGGTCATTCAATAATTCGTAAACTTGACCTGTTTATCCTCGTGCAAGCTCAAAGAGGTGTTCCTCTTAACCACGCATCTCTCATGTGCCTGAACATGGTTGAGGCTGCTCCTAGAGGAGAAAACTGGCAACGTGGACATACCCGGCATTAATAGACCGAAGGCGAATGAAATTTTGTTGGATCCATTACAAGTCAAAGCTAAAGGTTCGGGGGCTAAAAAATCTAAAAGGAAGAAAGGAGAACCACGACAGTGTAGCAATTGCGGTGAATGGCGCCACTATAGGACCCGATGCCCACATCCTGTTGGCTATGTGAAGCCAACCTCAAACGGTGATGCCCCGAATGATGGTGTTTCGGAAGAAGGTGGCGGTGGCGATGACACCGATGTTGATCCTCCCACCACTCAAGATCATTCGGAAACAGTACAAAAGAGAAGGCAAAAGCATTGCAGTAAGTGTGGTTCTACCAATCATAATGCAAGAACGTGTACTGGGTCTGGGCCATCCGATGATGAAAATGACGATGACGACGATTATGAGCAACCTAGGGTAAGAATAAGATATAATTGTT